AAGTGAGCCGGTATCCATAAGTAGGCCAGTTCGACAGGATTTTCCTCTTCAGGTGAGTTAATTTTGGCTCCGCCACGGCTCTCGCAAAGCTCATCACAGCTTTTAGCACTCTCGTTCCGTCCCTTCTCTCTACGATGGCACACTGGTTTCCCATCGAAGTTGCCGTCACGGAAAGCACAGGTGACTTGACATTCCCTTTTCTTTTAATCGTTGATCATTCTTACTGGGAATAGTCGTCACTTAATTCCTCTCCCTCTTGGTATTCTTTCCGCCGTGATATGAAAGTGTACGGGTCAGAGTAGAGAATCACTCACTATAAAGAACAATCCTTGTTTAGGAGCTCATCTAAGCGACGATCAAGAAGCCGTCATGCCAACAACTCCTCCGAATCCGAGTCTCCAGGTTTGTGTATCCGTCGCAATGGTGAATTGCCGGAGCACAAAAATATTTCCAGAATCAACCCATGGTCATAAAAGGCGACGACGGAGTCGAACACGATGCTCCGAGTCCGAGTTCACCGAGACAACCGACCGCTGGGATAGAGCCGAAAAAGTCAGAAGAAGCAAAAGGTAGCGTCATTTGTTATTCTGCCATTTGAACGGCATTGTGTGTAAGGCAGCCCACGCATCGCACTGGAATCATAGTTACGGAAGAGATCCGTTCACCCTATGTACATCATTTTCGAATCTGTGTCATTCTACATACTACCGACCTACCTATCTGTCGCCTTTCGTATTGCTCCGAAGGGGAATAAAGGCTCCCAAAACGTTATGAGGTACTCTGCACTTCTCAATCCTCCACTGCCAAACGCTACCACTGCTCTTTTCAGTGCTGCCCTTCGCCTACAGTTCCCCTATTAGCGAAGCGAATTGTCGGATATCGCGTCGAACGTTAGTCCTGATGATGACGGTTTGGAGGGGGGTTTTACAAAACCTATTCCAGATATTAATTGGGAGGCAAAATCCGAGATTGGTAGAAAAAGTAAAGCTTTCACGCGATAGATATGAATTGATGTGCAAGCGAAGAGCATGCATCCCCACTTGACGCAATTACTTAGCAAGGCTGAGGCGCTAACAAGGGAGGTCTTTCAGGGCAAGGTGCGCTTTTTGGAAACGGTTTAGTACATGTTGTAGGGACGCATGTATGGACCACAAAACCATGTTTCGTTTTCGCTGAACGGTTTTAGTAGTACCAAAAAAGTGGTGAATAATACTCTTGATGGTTCAATCCCCCCGCGGCGACTAAATTTTGCAATCAAGGTTGGCGGCCACTTGTTGGCTTCAAAATGGTCCTGACGATGAATTTGACATCTGATTTTGATATTTAGCGCGATTTGGCACCAAACCGTAGGCGCCAACCCAAATGCAAAATTTAGTCGCCACGGGGGATCGAACCCTTAACAGTACCTTATGCTTCTTTTTTGGTACTGCTATAACCGTTCAGCGAAAATGAAACATGGTTTTGCGTTCCCTACATGCGTCCCTACAATATGCACAAAACCGTTTTGAAAAAGCGCACCTTGCCCTGAAAGACCTCCCTTGTAAGGCCCGTGGGCTCCACCTACTACCGTGGATGCGACCACGTGAACGAGTGCTACTTTCGTTTCGCTACTGCTAGGGATTGGCTCTCACTCTCGGCTTTTCGTCGTTTTCTTCCACTTTTTTTCGTTACTGGCGTTACACTTTACGCTTCATCGCTCAAGCGCTACAACTGACCAATTGCTGGATCTTGCCTCAAAATGTAAACTTATGAGTGTTGAGTCCAACTTTAGAAAATTCATTCCAACAAGATGGGGAGTTGCTCCACGGGATTCCGCAGATCATCAACTTTCACACTGGATGCCCTTGCAATTCTTCGTGTAGACCAAATCGCATTGACATTTATATTTAATAGTGGAAGCAGAATGGGTGGCGCATTTTAAGAAGAGATCGGCAACATCAACATTTCGCTCTTGCTCGTGCAATTCATAACAATTCAAACAATTTTTCCATTTTACTCTCAGAATACAGTTCATACACATAAGCAGAATGATTCTCGCTCCCTAAACACGTGCTTAGCAGCAAGGTTCCTGGGCGTGGCTTGAAATGGAGTGAAATCTTGGGGCGGTATTCAATCCTTCCCCAGGGGTTGGGGGACGAAAATCCCTTTAAATTTTCTCTGTCTTCCCAACTGGGATTGTCCTGATAAAGGGCCTACATTTAATGTATGTATGTATGTAAAGTAACATGCATTGAAAATGAAGAAACTACATCGTTAAAAACAAATAAATTTAAAGGGATTTCCGTCCCCCAACCCCTGGGGGAAGGATTGAATACCGCCCTTGGTCTGCTGAAACTCAACAAAAAGGATTTTGGAATGATACTGGTGAAGTTTCCAGTTTTGATGGAAAAATACGGGCGGCTCTAGCGGATGGGGGAGGATTTTTGAAATTGTGGAAGATTTAGAATGCTACTACGAGTGCGCAAGCATGAGTCGACGTCTGCGTTGCTAGCTCTTTCTGCTTCCATCAAATTCTCTTCATTCTCTCCTATTGAAGTTAAACATTCAGGTCACACAGTGATCATCACAACCGTGACCGGGACGATCGTCGGCGGCGGAAAGAGCGAAATGGAGACGATCACCGTAAACGTCGGCATGAACGGGACGAGTACGAGAGGAACGGAAGAGACGATATCGTCGAACGGACCGGCGAGAGGCGATCTCGACGACATGAGCACAGAAATGGCGAAGCCTCGAGATTGGAAAGGCCTGAAAAGGAGTAAGTCCCGCAATCTTATCCTGGAAGCTCGATCTAAAATTACCTTCTCTAGAACTTCTTTCGATACCGTGCAGACCGATGCCACATTCCCACTCTCCGGTGGGATATCCATTCCACAGCACATCGTCATCCCCCCATCGATGGGTGAGCGAGGTCCTGACGGAAACCCTCTCCCACAAAAGTTTCAAATCAACTCGGAGATCACCATCAACTATGACGGATTGAATCCCACACCTCAATCCGATCCTAACGAACCATATCGAAGGAGATATCCGGTAAGTGTCACGTGGAGGCGTGCTAGTAAAACTGCGATTGAATCTAACTTATTTCCAGGCTGTGGGTGTGCAGTCGAATGTTTGAAGATGCCGCCGCCTCCTATCCGATCTCTCATGCTCAGTGTATGCTGCCATTTCAGCTCGCTTTCAATAATCTTTCGTCAACTCATCTGTGATATCCTAGTGAACCACTCTACTTACTTCTTCCTCCCTCCTTCCAGTTGTACATAAATTTCTGAAAGCGTTTCGCTAGTCTTCTCTTCTGTTCTCGGAACCGCTGATTCATTTCACACTATCCGGTTTCTTCTTCCACGCAAAGAGTATCTGCCTCATTCATGCTATTTATGCTCCTAATGATCAGTTATAATTATGAATTATTGGGTTGTTTGGAAAGCCCTGCCGATTTTCAAGGTCGACTGGAATAAAAATTCGTTAAAGAACCTATTGG